ACCGTGTGGAGCTGGAGGAACACAGCAGACCAGGCAGCATCAGAGGAAAGGAAAGCCTACGTTTCGGGTCAGGACCCTTCTTCAGAAAAATTCTTCATTTTTCTGAAGAAGGGTCCCGACCCGAAACATCAGCTTTCCTGCTCCCCTGATGCTGCCTGGCCTGCTGTGTTCATCCAGCTCCTCACTGTGTTATTAATGAATAGAAGAATATGATTTTGAGAGTGGGTTGAAGTAAGGTTGGAGAAGGCTTGTGTGCCGTATTAACATGGACCAAACAGCCTATTTTTGCACTGGGAAGCTTTGTACGATCTCCCAGAGCCATTGTAAGTATAAAATAAACCTTCAGGAAAAGCATTTCAACTTGGCTTAGCAGTCCTCCCCATGTTTCCCGAGTCAACCTCATTTATCTTATTTCTTACCACTACCCTCAGCTCCTTGGAATATATCAAATTGCCTTTTGAATACGTTCAGATTATCAATCCAATTTCCTTTCCTGACAGTTTACTCCATGAGTCTAACACCCTTCTGGGCAATGACACAAAATTCACAAAGGCCTGGAGCAAGACTGGAGATGAGAAGAATTTTGTTTCCCCCGCAGACTAACAGGCATGTGAGCAGCCAATCGGAAAAGATGGCTTATTCTCAGCCAGTAGATTCCTTTGAAAAACAACTGACTGAATAGCTGTTGGGGATGAGCAGCGAGAACTAAACAGAGATTTATATATCTGGATGAGTTATGTGGGAGTTGGGAAGATCAAAAGAAAGTTTTTTATAGATGAATGATAGGAGCGTGGTTCACAACTGAGATGATATATCAAGAAACAAGCTGATGCCCTTCTTTCAGCTCAAACTTGCCATATTCTTACAGATGAAAAATTAAATCACTTTATGTTCTTTGCTACTCCTTTATTTGCTTTTAGGTAGAATTCCCATGCATTTCTTTCTGTTTTATAGTTATTGCTGTGATTGGGTACTCCACACTCCCTTCCTGCCTATTTTTTCCTCCTTTCTCAAATGCTGATAGACGTTTATAGCACACAATGAGGTGATTCAGCCCATCAAGTTTATACCAGTCAAAAAAGATCTGAGCACACTTTTTCAGCTCCTGGCCCTTAGCCCATGATATGTCATTCTAGCATCAGTGGTGCTCTATAGCAATGTCAGGCAATTAAGGCTACACACACTGCTCAATACAACAAATCTCATTCAGTGGACATTTGGATGAAAGGATTGGAGCCCGGGGCCTCAGATACCAAGTACTGTTTCTGCGACACTGTGGGAATATATCCTTCGCAGTATTAATATTGAGTTGATTTTATTCCTTGCATCCCAGTGTTCACTTATCTTCATCTGAAGGCTAAGACTCAGCCAAGTGTGGGCATGGGTGACTCCAGGGGTCATTAACTCCATGCCCCCACCAGCAGAGAACATGCACCCAGTCAAGCATTAATTAGACACTGTTGACCATCTCGTGTTTTGTCCAATTAGAAGCTATGCCACCAAAATCCCACCCTGCTGGTGCCTACTGGTCAAATCAGAGGCTGGCACCTTCTCTGAGTCCCAGGGATCCTTGCTGGATGATCATGTTGTGAAGTGAAGAGCTGCCAAAATGGCGAGAAGGTAAAAGTGTGGTTTTTGTTTTGGGTATCATGGGGTCGCAAAGAGAGGACAGTCGGCAGGTTAGAGGGACAAACATAAGAAATAGGAGCAGGAGTAGGCCATCCGCCCGTCGATCCTGCTCCACCATTCAATAGGATCAGGGCTGATCTTGTTATGGACTCAGCTCCACAAGGAGCAGGGGTCTTGAAATTTCGTGCCCAAGCCCTTGCACCACCTGCCACCAAACACACTCAGACTGAGGAAAACAGAAGCCCTCCCCATCCCACAAAACCACCAGGCATCTCATCTGCCCCTTATCACTGAATCCGTACAGTGTAGAAACAAGCCATTTGGCCCATCATGTCCACACTGACCCTCTGAAGAGCATCCCATCCAATCCCTACAAATCCCATGGCTAATCCATCTAATCTACATATGCCTCGACACTATGGGCAATTTAGCATTGCCAAACCACCTTACCTGGATATCTTTGGAGGAAACCGGAGGAAACCCACACAGACAATGGGTGAATGTGCACACTCCACACAATTACCTCTAGAGTGGGATCAAACTCAGTCCCTGGCACTTTGAGGCTGCAGTGCTAACCACTGAGCCACTGTGCTACCCCACAAGCTTTCCCACATGCTGTGAAGGCAGGTAATTAGGTGGGTGGCAAATTAGGCCTTTAATTGACCACTTAAAGTCCTTAATTGCTGGTAAGCCAAGAAGATCTCCCTGGGCCATCTTGTGATACAGTGGTAGTGTTCCTATCCTGGGAGGACTGGGTTCAAGTCCCAAATGAAAAAGAAAGAAAGGTTTCATTTGGGCTCTTGGGGTGCAGAGGTAGTGTCCCTACCCCTAGGCTGAGAGGCCTGGGTTCAAGTCTCACCTACTCCAGAGGTGTGTAATAAGCAGGATTAATCACTTGTTAACAACCTTGGTAACTGCAGAATTGACTAAAATGCAGCTTCGTACTGGACCATTCATGAGTTAAGATCTCCCTGGGCTCACTTGTGGCACTGCAGTAGTGTCCCTGACCAGGGGGCCTGCCCCGGAGGTGTGTAATAACATGTCTGAACAGGTTGATTAGAAAAATTGGTTAAATAAATAGAAAAAGATCTCCCTGGTGAGAAGAGGGTAAGAATTTCTCCAGGCCAACAGTTCTGAGGAAGGGTCAGTTGGACCCAAAATGTTAACTCTGACTTTTTCTTCACAGATGCTGCCAGACCTGCTGAGCTTTTCCAGCAACTTCTGTTTTTGTTCCTCACCCAGCTACTTGATTTTCTTGCAGCGCTCCAGGGAGGAGCAAATCTCACCAATAAAGTTAATAAAAGTTGAGAATGGGTGCAAGTAAAAATCATGGAATAATAAAGTACAGAAGAGGCCTTTCAGCCCATCAAGTACACTACTACCCACATGATTGCCATTTTCCCCTAGCTTTCAACATTATGACACTTCAAGTACTTTGAAATGGCTGCAAGGTTTCATGCCTCAACTATCCTCACAGGCATTGCATTCCAGAGCCCAATCGTCTGTTTACTTACTTTCTTTCCAACTGTGCTGAGAGAATAAAAGGAAGCCCTATCAAAGAGAAGTGTGAAGTTCAATCTTGAAGAATAAAATCAAAGTTATTTGATTTGGGATCTGATACTGCTGCTCTTTGGAATATCAATTACCCGCATCGCTGCTGTAAAATTGTGAGCTTGAAACTTTACTTAACGGAGTTCTCAATCTCAGTGAGGCTGGACGGAGGTCAGAAGCCAATCAATAACAAGAATAACTTTCATTACATTACATTGTCAATATAGTAGAACATCCAGAGCCATTTTGCAGGAGTATAATCAAACAATATTTGATATGGAGCCAATTATACAGAGGGTATTTTCAATAGATGACCAAAAGAATGGTCAAAGAGACCATTTGAAAGTGGTTGAGGTGAAGAAGAGTCAAAGAGATTTTGGAAGGGAATTCCACAGTTTACACAAGTTATGGTGGAGTGATTAGGCCATAAGATGTAGGAGCAGCAATAGGTCATTTAGCTAATCTAGTCTGCTCTGCCATTCCATGAGATAATAGCTGATCTGATAATCCTCAACTCCACTTTCTCGGCTTTTCCTGATAGCCCTCGATTCCCTTACTATTAAAAATCTGCCCACCCCCATCTTGAATATTTTTAATGACCCAGCCTCAACAGCCCTCTGTGGTAAAGAATTCTACTGATTCACTAGTATCTGAGAGAGGAAATTCTTCTTCTTCTGTCTTGAATTGGTGACCCTTCATCCTGAGGCTCGGCCGTTTGTTCCTAGACTCTCGCACAAGGGAAAACAACCTTTCCACATCTACGCTGTCAAGTCCACTAAGAATCTTGTCTGTTTTGATGAGATTGCCTCCTATACTCCTAAATTCCAATGAGCACAGGCCCAACCTAATTAACCTCTCTTCATAAGAAAAGCTATGCGCACGCAGGAATCAAATTAGGCCATCTTCCCTGGACTGTTTCCGATACCAGCATATCTTTTCTTAGAAAATGGCATCCAAAACTGTTCACGTTATTCCAGCTGTGGTCTAACTAGTGACTTGTATAGCTTTAGGAAGACCTCCTAATTCTATACTCCATTCCTTTGGAAAATGATGTGGTCAACAAATCAGATTGGAAAAGAACTTGCAACTCGAGGGTATGGGGCTGAAAGATAACATTACAGTGACAGAGAGGGGCAAGGTCACAGACAATTTGAAAATAAGGATGAGAATATTAAAATCAA